CCTACAGATTGTATAATTCTGTCAAATCATGTTGACTGTAAGCCTAAAGTATTATTCACAATACCTTGCATACTTCAAGATTTAGTTGTTTTTTTGTATTCAAAGAACTCATTCTGTGTTTACTTCATTTTCATTAGATTATGCACAATGTTGTGAGCCTCCTAGGGAAGTATCAAGCTTATAAATTATGGGTATACCTGCTTCAGTTAGAAATCCGTAACTCATCTAACATTTAATTAAACATTCCTTTAAATGTAGCAAAGAGACGTGTACTTAGTAATAGGATGAGTAATAAATGTAGCAAAGAGACGTGTACTTAGTAATAGGATGAGTAATAAATGTAGCAAAGAGACGCGTACTTAGTAATAGGATGAGTAATAAATGTAGCAAAGAGACGTGTACTTAGTAATAGGATGAGTAATAAATGTAGCAAAGAGACGTGTACTTAGTAATAGGATGAGTAATAAATGTAGCAAAGAGACGTATACTTAGTAATAGGATGAGTAATAAATGTAGCAAAGAGACGTATACTTAGTAATAGGATGAGTAATAAATGTAGCAAAGATACGTATACTTAGTAATAGGATGAGTAAATCCTTCTACACATGAATGGCTAATTGTCGGGTAGAAAATATTTTTCATCAGAGTTTGTTTGATTGTTTCTCAAGTAGTAAATATATTTATCATAACAGGGAGTATTCATTGTTTCTGTTCCTTTTATCCATCTATCTGCCTGTATCCTTGTAGTATTCACCAAATGTGTTTTGGATCCTGTATTGGATAAAAAATTAAAGTTATCTTGAATTCCAGTTCTAGTTACATTTGTGACATGAATCTTGGAGGATTTTAGAAAATAGGACAGAGATTTAAATATATATTGTGTCATTACAAGTGTTCTTCTTGTTTTCTAGGATTTCCCGCTTCCGGATATCACAGCTCTTTTTTCACCCTCCCGACAAGAAGACAGAGACCGAAGTGAAGTAGCAAGCCACAAAAGAATTGACAGTGAGAGCCTTGAAGAAAATGAATATGAAGCTATTCACAAGAAACACTTCTGTCCCCAGAATTCCCCAGTAGTTGTCAGTAGTTCAGACTGTCAGAAGGTGGAACAGCAGCAGCAACAGAACAGGTCTGATGACCAGAGTTTAGCAAACCCTTCTGTATCCAGTTCAGATAAACCAGCTAGGATCGCTCTTCGTCGCACCAATTCAAGCCCAGAAATGAGAGGCAAATGGCCAGATACTTCTTCACCCCTAAGCAAGATCGATTCACCGGGAAAGATGCTGGTGATGGGAACGACATCCTCGGTGTCTCAATCTCTAAAACCTGCTGTAGATGATGACAAAAGTTTATTAACTTCCGTTCAATCCCAAAATATTGACCCCTCAGTAAAAGAATTATCCTCTGTGGACACAGCTTCAGAAAAAGAGGTTTCCAAGAAGCTCATGACACAAGATTCTAGTTCTCAGAAGGTATTGGTAGCTTCCCAGCAAGATAAAGATGTTGTAAAACAAGTTGAAGAATCTACACCGGTGATGAAACAAAGTGACTCTGAGGGGAAGCTAGAAAGAGAAAGTGGTCGCAGCTCAATGAGAAGATCACCGAGGAAAGAAGAGCGCTACGAATCTATTCCTGAAGAACCAAAGACGGGAAGCGACCAAGAATCGCCCGAAAAACTATTGAAGCATGGAATGAAAGAGAAGCTGCGATTAGATTTGAGTAACGTAAACCAACCTTCTGATCCGAACAAATCAGCAGTGAGTCCCGTTCCTCCTCACTCTGCCAGCCCATTCTTTAAAACAAGGTCTCCTCCAAGAAGCCCACCGTTGAAAGGTTAGAACTTTTACTTTGTACGTGTTTACTTAACAATAGGAAGACATTTTACAACTTAGGAAATAAATATAATAACTTTTTGTTATTTTATTAGTTTGTTATCAGTAACAACAGCGAACTGCTTTCTCTTATACAGGAAATGTGTCTCCGCCTGCAACAGGTTACCACCGAGAACGTGTACATACCATCTCAGTTATGAGTCCTGTCCAGTCTAAAAGAAGTTCCTCAGAAATGCTAAGAAAAGTATCCAGTCCTTACCGAGACATGTATCGAAGTGGTTTGAGTCCTAGGTAAATGTCATTATCGTCTCTTCCTCAATAATTTAATCCAAAGCTAGTTTTCTTTTTTATTTTCAATCAATAGTTTACTACGCTGATTTATATTCTGCATATCCTTGGGCTGTAACTGGCTTTAAGTTTGACATGTTTAAAACTGCTGTTTTCAATATATTCTGTGAAAATTCCTTGGCTAACTTCAGTTTTCACTACACAGAAACAGAAAAAAATATATATACATCCTTTTTTTTACCAATCATTTTGAAAGTTGTGCAAGTATCCTTGTGTGGCTTTGAGCAAAACTCAGAAACAAGTGTTTTTTTTTAATAGATGAATGACTAAAAAAATTTCTTTGCCCGTGTTATGTGTTGTTTTCGTAAGGATAAATAAAAACACAATATCTATATAGATTCAATTTATTCTGGGTGCGTTCTTTAATGTGTACTGCTCTGAACACTAAAACAGAAGTCAGAATTTGATATCGTTACACTGGTTTAAATTAGTCCTGCTGTAAATGTAAATAAAATAACACGTGAGTTACAAGACTTGATTCACGATTTTTTTAGGTTGTGTAAATTAGCATGTGAAACAGAGAGCTTTTCTGAAATTGGCTCTCAAGATAAATAAATATTTTAATAAAGAACTTTTCAACCAAGAAATGTTTACCATTTTTTTCAAAAACTGTTTTAAAGGAGTAGTTTATGCTCCAGCCAAAATACATGTTGTATTGATACATGTGACAAGCAGTATTGATTTTAGTACTATTTAATAGTGTGAATGCCGTAGTTGGTAGCAAGCCATTGTAGCTTTCGTTCACCCTCTTTCTACGGGCATCTTTGTTATGAGGTTTTAGTGAGTTACATTCAAAATTTAATTAACTACTTTTTTTTTCATGTTACACGATTAATTATAGCATAAAAACTGAGCTAATAATCCATATTTTAATAGTATACAAGTTTTCGGTTCTTAATTTTATAACTCAATATATTAAAAATATTCTGAATTTCCCCAAGTGTAAGAATCATGACATTTCTCTCTAGTTATCCCCTCTTCTGTATTTACTTACCACCCCTCCAAGAAGTACAAAATTTAATGTAAATTACTTATCATAATATCGTCATCACTCAGGTGAAGCATAATGTCTATAGCTTTCATTCTTATTTGGTTACAGAGCCAACAATCAGACCCCTCTACCACACCCACCCGTCACATCCTTTCTTTCAGGATTTTTCAATAGTTCTCTCTTACATTTAATATTATATTATTTATAACCAATAGGAAGGCAAAGTTTTAATCTTTCAAATGATGTATTATATTACAATGTATTCTGTACAGAGAATTGTCTATTTCACTGCCAGCTCGAGCGTCGTTCCCACGGGAAACACCTCGACTAGCTTGGATGAATTTGTAATGGCTCTTGTTGCATAGTTAGGGAAGTCAGAAAATTTGTGATAGTTTGGGACATCGTCTAGTTTTACATGTTATTTTTCTGTGTTCCTTGGTGCAATATTTAATTAAATAAAATATATATATATATAGTGCACTATTACCATTAGTATAGAAAAGTAGGGTTAAGTGTCGTTGACTGTCTACAGGAAAAAGAAAGTTCCAGGTAAGTACATTATTTATTATTATAAAAGTAATTAAAATTAAGAACAGGAAACTCTTTAGGTTAGTTAAGATCAGATTAGATAAAATAATTTAATAAAAAATTTTCACGAAGCATGCCCGTTAGCAGCTCGGAGTAGCTTGTGGGTAATGTAATTTGATGGCATAATGTGAGCTGCATATTCCCCAAGTGATCTACAACTTACAATGTCACAAATAGTAGTTAGACATGGTTCAAAGGGCAATAAACTAATAACATTTAATATAAATAAATAGATACTGTTACAAGTTTAAAGCTACTTAGAATAAATGAATGTAGTTTCATGTTACAATTTGAAGTCATTCTAGGAAGAAAAAAAGGTAGTTTAGATTTCTTTTGAGGTTTTTTTTTTTGATGGTTACGAGGTCGGTCAAATTGACCAACCCCATATAGAGTTAGGGTAGAGAATTAACAAATAAAATATAAAGTTTTACTGAAAAAAAAAAACATTTGAAATTTAGTTAGGAGGTGTTAGAGATTATGCAAATGAAATTTAAGATGAAGAAAAGCATTTTTAATCTTTACATGAAAATCACTTTGCACTCGGACTAGTAAAACAAAAATACAATATGTTCACGGACAAATATTTGGTAAAAATCTGACTTTTTTTTTTTTTCCATAAAAGACTTGTAATGTTTACTGAAAGTGTGCCAAATTTTGTGAAGATACACATATTAAAATTTAGTAGTATTGAAACTAACAACAACAAAGTGGTCACGTGGTCGGTCAATTCAACGAAATCTGTGTTGAAAGAGTTAACTGGCACCCATATATATATATACACACACACACACATTTATATATAAACAATGCATTATGGGTAAAGCTTACTTGTAAACATCATTAGGGGTCAAAGTGTGCATGCCATGACCTTTTACAGAGTAAAAGCATTTGATGTCAGAGTTATCAAATATTCATTTTACCCTGCATTACTGATTTAGCATGATAGAGGAGAGTAAAGACCATATACAATGTACAGGATACTTCCACAAAAACTGTAGATATTCATTTCAAAAGTTCTAAAGGAAACTTTTACAATTGACAAAAGTATTTTTATTCTTCACATGAACATCAACTTGTTTAATGTGATTGGTAGAAAGACGCTGATGTAACTAACACGTTGCTAGGTGTTTCCAAGTGGATTTGTTGACAGATGTTAAGTTGTAATATGATAATGTGATTGGTAGAAAGACACTGATGTAACTAACACGCTGCTAGGTGTTTCCAAGTGGATTTGTTGACAGATGTTAAGTTGTAATATGATAATGTGATTGGTAGAAAGATGCTGAAGTAACTAACCCGCTGCTAGGTGTTTCCAAGTGGATTTGTTGACAGATGTTAAGTTGTAATATGATAATGTGATTGGTAGAAAGATGCTGAAGTAACTAA